CAAACTGATTCTCAAGTTTATATGGAAGGACAAAAGGTCCAGGTCAGTGAACATGATATTGAGGAAGAAGAACAAAGTCAGAGGATAGATACTTCCGGACTTCCAGACTTTCTGTAAAGCTTCAGTAATCAAGACAGTGTGGTATTGGCAAAAGAATAGACAAACAGATCAATGGAAGAGATCTAGCAGTGGAACAGACTAGAGAGCTGAGAAATAGACCCACACAAATACAGTCAAGTATAGTGGGGAACGGCCAGTCTTTTCATCTAACAGTGCGGGAACAACTGAACCTCTACTTGCAAATCAATGAATCTGGACACAAGCCTTACGTGCTTCATAAAAGTTAACTAAAAATGGATCACAGATTCAAATGCAAAGCGCAAAATTATAAAGCTTCTAGAAGATGGCATAGGAGAAAATGTAGTTGGTTTTGGGTGTAGCAATGGCTTTTTAGAGCGAAAAGCACAATCAATAAGGAAAAAAATTGATACAATGGTTTATTAAATTAAAAACTCTTGTGCTGCAGAAGACACTATCAAGCAAATGAAAGACATGCTACAGACTAAAAAAAAGTTTCAAAACACATCTGTGGCTCACTCCTGTAATCCCAGCACTTTGTGAGGCTGAGGCAGGCAGATCACTTGAGGCCAGGAGTTTGAGACCAGCCTGGCCAACATGGCAAAACCCTGTCTTTACTAAAAACATAAAAATTAGCCAGGTATCTTGGTGCATGCCTATAATCATAGCTATTTGGGAGACTGAGGTATGAGAATAACTTCAACCCTGGAGGCGGAGGTTGCTATGAGCTGAGATCATGCCTTTGCACTCCAGCCTGGACAACAGGGAAAGATTCTGTCTCAAAAAACAAACAAAAAGACCTCAGTTATATCTAAAACAAATAATATCCAGAATATATAAACTCAACTGTAAGACTCAATTTTAAAAAATAAGTGAAAGATCTGCATAGACAATTCATCAAAGAAGACATATCGACAGCAAACATGCACATGCAAAGATTATCAACATCATATGTCATTAGAGAGTTTTAAATTAGAGCAACCCTGAGAGATACTATTGTTGTGGTATGAAAAGAAATATATTTGGTCTTTGTCCCCAGTTCCTGGCACAGAGCTTCTAAAACACCTGAAATTCTTGAGTGATAAGAATGTCATTCGTTATTTATAAAAAGTCCCAGACCAGGTGTGGTGGCTCATGCCTACCCAGCACTTTGGTAGGCTGAGGTGGGTGGATCACAAGGTGGATGGATCAGGAGTTCAAGACCAGCCTGACAAACATGGTGAAACCCAGTCACTACTAAAAAAAAAGTACAAAAATTAGCTGGGCGTGGTGGTGAGTGCCTGTAATCCCAGCTACTCGGGAGGCTGAGGCAGGAGAATCACTCGACCCGGGGAGGCAGAGGTTGCAGTGAGCTAAGATTGTGCCACTGCATTCCAGCCTGGAGAGCAAGAGTTTTTTGAGACTCCATTTCAAAAAAACAAAGTTCCTTTTGATCATACCTGGGTTTATAATGAGATAACTAAGGGTAGGACCCCTAGATAGCCTCAGGATGGGACCGGTCACCAGAAAGACGAAGTGATTAGGAGGTTAGGACTTTCAACCCCATACACTGACTTCAGGGAAGTTTCAAGGGGAGTAGGGGAGGGGAGTGACTGGAGATTAGGCTCTATACAAACTCTTGTACATGAGATTTGATTAACTGCCAAGTTGGTGCATATATCAAGGTGCTTAGGAGGCTTCCATGCCTGGAGAGGGCATGGAAGCTCTGTACACCTCCCCGACCACTCCCCATAACTTGCCCTATGGCTATTTCTGTATTGTATCCTTTAGAATAAGGCAGTAAACATAAGCAAAGTGTTTCTCTAAATTAGAATTATTAAATAGTCCATTCTAGCAGGTTATTGAAACTGAGGGGGGATTATGGGAGCCCCATTAATTTATAGCTAGTCAGTCAGATGGCCAAGTGGTTTGGGGACTTGAAGTTGGCTTCTGAAGTGGGAGCGGTCCTGTGGGATGGAGCCCTTAACTTGTGGGTCTGATGTTAACTCCAGGTAGATAGTTTCAGGATTGAATTGAATTGTTGTGGGGAAAAAATCCAACATCTGGGGTCAGAAGTGAATGTTTTGTGAGAATAGAGAAACAGTTTTTGTTCTCAGAATTACACATCTATTAGAATGACTAAAATCCACAACACTGACAGCATCAAATGCTGACAAGGATGTGGTGCAACAGGAATGCTCATTCATTGCTGATGGAAATGCAAAATGATACAGCCTCTTTGAAAAACAGCAGTTTCTTAGAAAGTAAACACACTCTTACTATACAATCCAGGGATCATGCTCCTTGGTATTTATCCAAATGAGCTGAAAACATGTCTACACAAGAACAACAGAATATGCAACACAAGGAGCCTACCCTATTATAAACCATGAACCTTAGTTAATAGTAACATATCCATACTGGCTTACCAGTTGTAACAAGTGAACCACACTAATGCAAGTTGTAAATAATAGGGGAAACTCTGGGTCAGTGTGTATGCAAGGCAGTACACAGTAACACTTAGCTTTCTGCTCAGTTTTTCTGCTAATGTAAAACTGCTCCGTAATAGTTTGCTAGAGCTGCTGCAACTATGTACCCGGGTTGCTTCAAACAGTAATTTACTACCTCACAGTTCTGGAGGCTAGCTGTCCAAAATCAAGGTGTTGGCAGGGCCAGGGTCCCTCAGGGACTCTGGGTAGAGTCCTTCCTTGCCTCTTCCAAGCTTGTGGAGGTGGGTGGCAGTCCTTGACATTCCTTGACTGACAGCTACATCAGTTCTAGCAGCTGACAACCATCCCTAGCCCACTTGAATCACTGTAATTTTGTGAGAGTGCATTCATTCATCCATCATTGAGGGTCTGCAGGCCAGACCTCTGAAGGTGGTAGTCACCACCTGAGATTTAAGTCACAACCTGTGGAAGTCCAGCCTGCAGACCCTGACTCAATGACAGATGAATGAATGCACTCTCACACCATTATAGTGATGTAAGTGGGCTAGGGATGGTTGTCGGCTGCTTTCAGAGGGCAAAATGCAGCCGATTGACCAAGACTCCCTCTCCATCATTGCATTTATTCAGTATGAATTTTACAACAGAAGTTCTAAGTTAACACACTTGTGGATAATTAACATGGTTAAAAGAGTGGTTTTATAAATGATAAAAGCTTTAGGTTCTGGACCAGTATAAATATTATTAATAGGTAATTCTCCTTTGATTTCCTCCTGAGAGGACCACCCAGCACAAAGTTTACATGAGTAAACAGTTAGAGTGGAGACAAAGGGATGTGAGGTAAACAGACTTAAACTGGGAAAGCCTATGATCATCTCTATCTCTTTCCTATGCTAATGTGAATGAGGCAGCTGCCTTCAGCATGCCTCAGTAAAACCTCTTGGCCTTCCAAAAGGTTTGAGATTACAATCTTTAACTTTTGCTATTATTTTGCCAGCCACCCCCAGTGAATATCAATAAATCCTCTTAGGCTCTGTCATCACAGAATTATCTTTCCATTGTCTTCCTTCTGCCCATGTCTGTGTCTGGATCCAAATTTACCCTTTTTAAAGAATACCAGTCATTATTGAATTAGGGCTTACCCTAATGCCCTTATCTTAATTTGATCATGTACAAAGACCTCATTTTCAAGTGAGGTCACATTCATAGGTACCAGAAACCTCTACATATCTTTGGGGGAGGGGATACAATTCAACCCATAACATGCTTTAAAAAATAACATATGTAAGTTGAAAAAAAAATCCTCTATTTTCCTATGATAGAAGGAAGATAGGAAGAGATATGAAGACATGAATTTCTAGATTTCAGCCTAATTCTCTGGTGTAGATAGAAGACTAGCAATAGCTATAAATTCTAAGACTTGATGGTATTAATAATATGATTTTATTTCATTCTCAGTACTATGTTGAAGTAGGGGAATCATTTAAGTTGAAAGAAAAAGAATGACATTCTTTTATATGACATGTCTAAAAAGTGAAGAACACCTCCAAATAGAGGTATCAATGTCTAGAAAGCAGCAAATTACATTTGTAGGGTTGATGACAATTCTTTATGCTTCATGGCATTGGGGCAAAGATGTCAGAATTTAAGGAAGAGAGTAATACAGTTTGCGTTTGTGAATTTAGGGAAGAGAGGAATACAGTTTGTGTTTGTGTACCTTATTACATGAAGATGGTAGCTGCTTAGCTCCTTTGCTTAGAATAGCGTACTAATGCAAAAACAGCCTCAGATTCCTTCAAAGTCAGAAATGTCCCTCTGTTCCAAGCCATAAGCTGTGATCTGGACTCCGGCCATGTCTCTGCCTCAACAGTTGAAGAAGTGGCACTAGGACAATACAAATTTACCCCTGCCAGAGACCATGGAAGCCTGCTGCTCAATATTCATTCTCTCTTTCTCCTTAAATAATCAAACACTAATGTTGTTCAAGAGACAATGTGCCAAGTTAAACATCCATCTCCATTGACCCCTGTGTATCTGGGGGTTCCAGGAAACCTGATACCACTGGAGTCGTGATTGGAAGTTTCTGGAAAGAGCTTCAAAACAGACAAAGCTTCATAAGAATTGGGCCCCTTCTTTCTTCCTTCTTAGATATGGAATACACATGGATACAGTATCTGGAAATGTGGCAGCCATGATGGTGGGAGTCTCACTGTAAGGATGATAGAGTAACAGAAAGACAGAAGTTTGAGGCACTAATGTCTTCAAGTTCATTAAATTTCTCTCTAGCCTTATCTAATCTGTTGGTTAATCCATCCACTGAGTTTTCATTTTCTTTATTGCTTTTTAAATTTTAGCAGTTCTATTTGGTTTGTAAATATCTTTATGGTAATTTTGTAAAATCTATTTCCTAGCTCATATTTTCAAGTTCTTTTTGAGGCTTTGTTTCAGCTGTCTGTGTCTGCTGATTCTCACACACAGTACCTTATTTCCTTGCAGGTTTTGGTGTTGGTGCTGTTAACAGCTAATTTCCTTGGATCCAGAAGCTGGATTTTTTTGGATCTTAGAAGCTGGCTTGACATTGAAGTCTGTCAAAGAGAATTTGCATCTGCTTTTCACAGCATCCTAGAGGTGCTACCAGTTTGGTACCACTTTGAATATATTTATCTATTTGTGATTTTTGGTGGCTGCAGAGGTTCTGTGAATTTGGACTAAAAACTCTTGTAATATCTTAGTTATATATTTTCAGAGGAATTTTTTTTCTGTTTTTTTTTTTTTTTTGCCAGCACCAAGTCTAGATAGGTAAGTTTCCTGGCTTTACATTTTGCATGCTAGGATTTATTTTTAGTTCATCCTAACTTTTAAATTATAGCCCTTTGGGGTCCCAAGGTTATGCAGGTATTTTGCATCAGGTTCTTCAATGGGGTAGGCCCTGGGATTTTAATCCTTCCTCTCATGCCTATGTCATCCTCAAAGCAGAAGCTCAGGTATTCCACTTTTCAGCAGGAGTCTTCAAGATGAAAGCTAACTTTTCATTTGTCTTACTCCCAAAGATCCTAGTTATGCTTTGTTTTGCATCTTTGTAGATTTCTTACCTCGGTGCCATTCAGCAATGCATTTTAAAGGAAAAATGTAGTGTTTATTCAACAATGTAGTTATTTCAATCAGAAGGGTTGTTCAGGACACCTAAATTGCCTTAATGACAGAAACAAGAATTTAGCCTTTGATTTTGATGGAAGGTCTTTATGACTCAATGTCTAAACCCACGCAACTCTACAATGGCCCTTGGAAAACCACTCATGCTTTACCTCCCTCCATGACAGGTGCCTTACAAAAAACCAAAACAATAAACTGCCAATTTTTTTTGTAAATTACTAATGTTGGCATTTCTGGTATGTTGCCTGTCACAAGTGAAGAATATATTTTTCTAAGTGATTCTCTGAGGAGAGTGGATTACTGTGGTGTGAAGGTTAAGATAACCAGATAAAACTGCTTCAGCTTAAAGATGAACTCTTCAGGACCATTTCAAAATGTTCCAAAGAGAATAATATCCAGGTTTATAATGAGCCTTCAGAGCAGCACTGCAGCTGCCAGGAATAGTTCAGAGCATGTTGAATCCTACAGTTTCCCTCTCTCTTGAGGCTCTGCATCGCAGCCATTCACAACTGGAAGAGCACCATTTATTCAGCCCTCAAAATTATGAGAACCAAAATGGATTGAGCTCATTTGAAATGCAGATGTGACTGCACTCTAATTACAATTGCCCCTGTGATTTTTGTTGTGAAGCACAAGCCATCAAACAGAGATGAGAAAAATCTGGGCACAACAGCAGGGGAATATTTTGGTCCTGGATTGAAGTAAGTTTTAAAGTACACACAAAGAAAAGGGAGAAATATCCCAGGGATGAACTTGGCCGACATCATATTTTTTTTTCTTGTTTGATAAATATCTTGCTTTGGACCCCATGAAGGTACATCCCTCACTACCCACTGAGGAAGGAGAAGGGGAAAGGTTAATTATCCCATAGATAGTCTCCCACTAAAAAAAAAGTAAAGGAAACTGGTGAATATTTCTGAAGGATTCTTAGAGACACAAGGAAGAAAGCATTCGCTTAAGTGACAAAGCCGCATCTCCTTTTTGGGAAACACGGTCTACTTAAATGAGGTGCCAAAGAGATGATGTCACACCATCTTATCCTAAATATGCCCACACACTTACCGCATCTCACCTTGCACACTCATTGGAGGTCATTTCTGAGATGCACACACATGCCCACACAATATTACTGTTAGAGATATCTTCAGGAGGCAGTTACAGCTTCACTTTTCCTGGGCCTTTTCATAGCATAGTGGAAAGACTGACTTCAAATTCTTGGGGTTGAAAATTTTGGGTTCACCTACCAGTTGTGATGTCTTGGACATGTTACTACTTAACTTTTCTCCTTGTCTGTTCACTTCTCTACATAATGGCCATAATGATACCTGTATTATGGGATGTAAGGCTGCATGCATGTAAAAATAAGACATATACCAATGTTGGTCAAGATTATCATTAGGCATAAAGCACTACCTATTGATTTATCTGTCATCTCTCATGGCTAAGTGAGTTTTAGAAATGGAATGTGGCATGTAGAATAGGAGAAATCCCATGCCTGGAATAGATAGACCCAAAATGCACTATCCTCCTCTTTACATTTTTTTTTTTTTTAGAGACAGGATCTAGCTATGTTGCCCAGGCTGGAGGGCAATGGTGTGATCATGACTAATTGCAGCATGAAACTCCTGGGCTCAAGTCATCCTATTGCCTCTGCTTCCTTAGTGACTGGGACTACAGGTATATGCTACCACACCCAGCTAATTTTTAAATTTTTCTGTAGAGACTGGTTCTCACTATGTTGCCCAAGCTGATCTTGAACTCCTGACCTCAAGCCATCCTCCTGCCTTGGTCTCTCAAAGTGCTGAGATTACGAGCATAAGCCTCTGCACCTGGTCCTCTTTTAATCTTTATCCTACTGACATGTCCTGCAAGTTACAACGCCCATGCTCTGACATGACAAAAGTGAGAAGACAACAGCTTTAAGGTCTTTGCTCAGTAGGAGTAAAGAATCCTGGAAGGGACTATGCCATTTGAGGTGGAAACAGGTCCTCAAGGCAGAAACTCATTTAGATTCAATGCCCTTGTGCTTTAGGGACTCCTCTATTTAAAGCTAGAGTATTCTTGGGTGGATAGTTATTAGCAAGGATGATGTTGAGGGAGGGTCACTAATAGGAGAAACCTTATGACCAACTTTGCCCAAGAAAAGCCCGAACTAGCCTGGATAAGCGCCGTGCCCCTCTGACAGTCAGGAAGCACACCTTAAAGGCAAAGGCCCTACCCTCTGGACTCCATGCCTGACACATGCGACCCCCACCACCTGCTCACAGGGAATTGGACCATGGGTGGGTGCCTTTCCCAGAACCAGCTAATTTATAGGCTAGCTTTTCATCTATAAGGGCAGGAGAGTCAGGCAACTCAATGCCACTTGGATGATGGGCATGAAGTGAATCACTCATATCCTCTCTCAAGGGGTTTGAATGTGAAACAGACACAAGAAAAGTGTATTTATAGGCAGCAGCAGGAGCAATAGGACAATGAAAGAGAGGAGCTGATTCACAACATGAAGGAAACTGAGAGGAACAATGGAGGGCTGTGATGTTCCCAAGGCTGCTGGCAAGCTGTGAAAACTGCTGCTGATCCTGAAGGGTGAATCTGCCTTGAACATTTTCAATTCCTTCTATTCCCATGTTGTTTTTAGAATCGTGTTTTAAAGAAAACCGGTCCTTGATCTTGGTGCTCATTACCAGAATATGTGCTTTTGGTTGTAGCATTGGGTGGTAGCAAAACTTTTGGTTGTAGTATTCCACTTTTCCTAATAACTTAGTTCTTAATAATTTGCTGTGAGACCTTGAAAATTTGAGTATATATGATGTGCGACATCAGCATGTGAATTACGGAGACACAACGTAACAGCTTATCAACCTTTGAAGACATTGGTACTCAACATCTTTTTTGACTGTAAATTTTTTAGATTTAACTTTTCCTGGATTAATTTCTTAGAAAGTCACCAAATTGATCATTTAGAAAAGAATTAAAAACTACACGGCTTCTTAAATTTTTGGTATGTGCATTAAGAATTGTGTACTAATTGCTCATAATGTCTGCATACTGACCTTCAACATGACCGAAATCATCTGAATTATGAGAGAAAAAGATTGGGCACGGTGGTTCATAGCTATAATCCCAGCACTTTGGAAGGCTGAGGTGGGAGGATTGCCAGAGTTCGAGACCAGCCTGGGCAACATGGTGAAACCCCATCTCTACCAAAACTAGGAAAAAACAGCTGGCCAAGGTGGTGTGTGCCTGTTCTCTCAGCTACTCAGGAGGCTGAGGTAGGAGGATCACTTGAGCCCAGGAAGCAGAGGTTGCAGTGAGCTGAGATTGTGCCACTGCACTCCAGTCTGAGCAACAGAGTGAGACCTGGTCTAAAAAAACAAATGCATAAATAAATAAAAATAAATAAATAAGACTTGAACAGACACTTCACTAAAGATGTATACATGACAAAAAAGCATACCAAAAGATGTTCAACATCCTATGTCATTACAGAAATGCAAGTTAAGACAACGAGATAACACCACACACCTATGTGAATGGCCTAAATCCAGAACACTGACAGCACCAAATGCTGGGAAGGATGTGGAGCAATGGCAACTCCCAGTCACTGCTAGTGGGCATGCAAACTGATATAGTCACTTTGGAAGACAGTCTGGCAGTTTCTTACAAAGCTAAGTCGTTTTACCATACAACTCAGAAATCTCACTCCTAAGTAACTGACTTGAAAACTTACATCCACACAGAAACCTGTACGTGAGTGTTTATAGCAACTTTTTTCATAATCACTAAAAACTGGAAGCAACCAAGACCAAGATATCCTTCAAAAGAGATGTACAAACCGTGGTATATCCAAACAATGGAATTAGTCAATAATAAAAAAGGAATAAATGTCAATAATATGATGACTAAAAGGAATAAATGTCAATAATATAATGACTAAATGGAAAAAGGACATTGGGGAAAAAAATAGGAAAATCTGTATATATGGACTTCAGTTAATAGCAATATATGATTGGCTCAGCAATTCTAAGAAATTTATCAAGCTAATATAAAATGTTAATAACAGGATGATGGGGCTAAGGACACATTACTGCAAAATATGGCACCTTGGCATTTGAGAAAATGGCAGGAACTGAAGGTCACACTCACCTTCCCTCCACCCTTCTCCCCGGAGCAAGTCATAAAATAGTGTCAGCAGAAAACGCTCAAAACGCTCAAATTGTTTTTTTTTTTTTTTTTTTCTGTTTTCACATCACAACAATTAACATAGAAGACTTTTGTGATCCCAAAATATGTATGGATTTCTCCCCACCAGCAAGCAAGTGATTGTGCAGCAGACACCAGTGGGGTGTCCTCCAATTTAGTTCCTACATTATCTACCTGGAGTTAGCAGCAGATCTAGCAGATTGAGAGCTCATTCCCATGAGACTGTCCCCACTTTTGATGCCAATGGCAAGTTCAAGGTTATTTTGCTTGTGCTTCTCAACTATTGGCTGCAAATCAGGGTTCCCAAGACTCTCTCTACGAGTTTGATTAATTTGTTAGCTTACATAACTCAGGAAACACTTATATTTAGTGGTTTATGATAAAGGGTATTACAAAGATGAAGAGATGGATAGAGTGAGGTATGGGGGAAGGGGCACAGAGTTTCCATTCCCTCCCTGAGCATGCAACCCTCCAGGAACCTCCATGTGTTCAGCTATCTGGAAGCTCTCCATACCCTGTTCCATGGGCTTTTCATGGAGTCTTCATAGGATAGGCCTTACTGAAGTATAAACACCTATGCAGAAATGTGATTGGGGCCGGGCATGGTGGCTCACACCTGTAATCCCAGCACTTTGGAAGGCCGAGGTGGCTGGATCACCTGAGGTCAGGAGTTCAAGAGCAGCCTGGCCAACATGGTGAAACCCTGTCTTTACTAAAAATACAAAAATTAGCCAGGTGTGGTGGCGAGTGCCTGTAGTCCCAGCTACTCAGGAAGCTAAGGCAGGAGAATAACTTGAACCTAGGAGGCAGAGGTTGCAGTGAGCCGAGATCGTGCCACTCTACTCTAGCCTGGGCAGCAGAGAGAGATTCCCTCTCAAAAATAAAAATAAAAAAAGAAATGTGACTGGTCCAAAAGGGCATGATCGAATACAAATAGATGGAGGGGCTAAACCCAACAAGGCCTGTCTGTTCTGACTCCACTTGGCTTCCCTGTGCAGCATTCCTTCCTCCAGATCATGGGGCAAGGTCCCTTTTAAAACCTGGGTCTTATGGCCTGCAGTCAGACAAGGTAGGTCTGAGAATTTCTATATGGCCAACTCCAAGACAGAGGGGTGGGGGAAGATTAGAGTATATTTTAGTTTCTATGACCTGCCTTGGGGAGAAATAGCAAGAGATATGGGAGTTCTGAGTCAGGAATCATGGATGAAAACCAAAATAAATATGTGTTTAAAACAATATTGGGCCGGGCGCAGTGGCTCACACCTGTAATCCCAGCACTTTGGGAGGCCAAGGTGGGTGGATCACAAGGTCAAGAGATCGAGACCATCCTGGTCAACATGGTGAAACCCCGTCTCTACTAAAAATACAAAAAATTAGCTGGGCATGGTGGCGCATGCCTGTAGTCCCAGCTACTCAGGAGGCTGAGACAGGAGAATTGTCTGAACCCAGGAGGCGGAGGTTGTGGTGAGCCGAGATCGCGCCATTGCACTCCAGCCTGGGTAACAAGAGCAAAACTCCGCCTCAAAAAACAAACAAACAAACAATATCACACCTAAGAAGGATTTTTTGACCTTCCCGAAGTGGATCATTAAATAGGCACCCACACTGTACTGGCGAAAAAGGATATTATCCTTATCTCTCAAGATACAGGAACATGGAGAGAAATCTGAACAAACAGGCCTTCTGAGTTCCCCCGGTTTATTACCATTAGATCATAGCTTTTCATCCAGTCATACTTACAGTAATTATCTGTCTATCTTTTGTTATAGGGGCCTCAACCATGAACCTAGCAATAGGTAAGGAAAACATGTTTTCCTTCCCTTACAAGGAGAGGCTGTGGAAGGGAAGAGGGGGTGGTACATGGATACTCTGTACTGTCTGCTCAGTTTCTTTGTAAATTTAAAAGTGTTTTAATAAATAAAATCTATTCATTAAAAAAAAAACAAAGAATAAAGTTCTTTTGGTGAGTTTAAGAATGAGAAACATTTTAACTCAATTTTTAAAACTCACTGCTTTCTAATTCACTATTTATTAATTTATAAAATTATGTTATATAATTGATTACTTTATTTTATTCATAAAGTTAACTTACTTCATTGATACCTGATTATTCTCATACCTTTGCCCTAGAGATCAGAAACTTTTATTGAGTCTCCTTACTCCCCACATTATAGGTTCAATTGTTTCCTCTATTTCCTTCTCTTTTCTCATTTTCTCAAACAAGATATAGTTGGGAAAATTGATTGTACGATTAGGGTCTCATCTGGAGTTGTCGTGTTAGAGAAGGATTCTTACTGAATTCAGCGTGACAAGTCACTTTAGGTAACACAAGTTAACTTTGTTTAGGGTGCCACTCAATACCTAGAAATCTCTCCCAGGAAAACTGGCTGGTATCTGGTTTACAGATGTGAAATGGACCAATGCCCTCAGAAACTTGCATTACTGCAGAGGAAACCTGAGGAAAAGAGGTTCCAAGACTTAGTTTCCTAGCCTCAGGATGGCAAGTAACAGGAGATTTGTAAAAGTCTGAGATCACTTAAGAAAACTTTAAGGCAGACATTAATTTGTGCACTCAGTAGTTATTCAGTAATATAAAGTTCTAAATATGCAAAAGCAAACTCAAGAAAGCATCTATGGTTTAGTAACAATTTTGCTGCCCTGTGGTAATAATTAGGCCAAATCTAAGGAGACCAGCCTTTTTTTGTGATCAAAAATACACTTTTTTGAGATTACTATGATTACAGGTTGAGGAGAGGAGGGAAATAGACAACCAGGAAAAATTGTGAATTACTTTGAAATGTGGGAAAAATTAGTGCCCTATCTAGTATACCCTTCTCTAACTTTCATCTTGAGCTAGTTCACACTAGGTAGTTAACTGGATTTCTTTTTTCTGTGATGGGATCTTGCTATGTTGCCCAGTCTGGACTTGCACTCCTGGGCTCAAGCAGTCTTTCCTTCTTAGCCTCATGAATAGCTGGGACTACAGGCATACACCAGCTGGCCTAGTTATCAATACAAATGACTCTTGACCACAGACGTGAAAATTAATCTTGTCCAGTGGAAGTACAATTAATTTCTTTCCCTCACCACAAAAGAAGCCAAGTTTGCATCTATTGAACAAATTTATATTAACATTGCTGATTGCCTCTGCATGTGTCTGCTCTTGAGGTTTCTCTTTAATTGGTTGTAACGTGTTACTGTTTCTCAGATTAAATAGTGAGCAGAATAAACTCTGATATGTGTTCATTTTATATTGGTAAGAGAGTCATGATTTTACTCTTTAAAACAAATAGTATACTAAACAATTGATTTAATAAAACCAAAATCGAAGGTTTATCAAACTCTTTATATGCTTAATGACAGAGTTTGGATTGTATATGTAGAGGTCAGAGGCTTGATTCCAATGTAGGAGATGAGGGCTGGAGATGAAAAGGGTGGGTGCAATTGCTCAGGGCAAAGGAAAGCAGTGAGCCAAGCCATTTCTCTCTACAGACCAATGTTTGAGAGGCAGGTGGAGGAAGAGAGAAACCAAGAAGGGGCCAGGCGCGGTGGCTCACGCCTATAATCGCAGCACTTTGGGAGGCCAAGGCAGGTGGATCACAAGGTCAAGAGATCAAGACCATCCTGGTCAACATGGTGAAACCCCGTCTCTACTAAAAATACAAAAATTAGCTGGGCATGGTGGTAGCCCCTGTAGTCCCAGCTACTCGGGAGGCTGAGGCTGGAGAATTGCTTGAACCCAGAAGGCGGAGGTTGCGGTGAGCCGAGATCGCGCCATTGCACTCCAGTCTGGGTAACAACAGCGAAACTCTGCCTCAAAAAAAAAAAAAAAGAAAAAGAAACCAAGAAGGAATAGTTGGAGAAGCAGAGGATTTCCATAAGATGCCAGCAGTCAGCAGAGTCAAATGCTGCAGAGACAAGGCAGTGCAAAGACTAAACACAACCTAGCACACCCACTGGATTGGACCATGTGTGGCTCTGGCCAGTGCAGTTCTTGTCAAGTGATGGAGGCAGCCAAGGAATCAGTGATGTGACTGGGAGGTGAGAATTTGAAGGATCAAGTGGGTACATCTTTGAAGAAGGCTTTAATTTGAGAGGAAGGACTTAGTTAAGAGGTGGCTGAAGGTGGAGAGAGGGGATTATTTATGGGTGGAGAACCCAGTGGTGGTTGGAAAAAAGGATCTGGAACTCAGGAGCAGCCCACTGGTCTGGGGCAGGAGGAAGGACCCTAGTGATCTGACCTGGCGGGGAGGAGAGAGGGTGGACAGGGATGGACATAAGCTTGTCAGTCAGGATATGGGCAGCATAGAGGAAATTTAGAATCACTGGCCTCAACTTTCTGGATGAAGTCAAATAGGTGAGAACTCACCAGGGAGCTTAAGGTGAGGGGGACATTCAGAGCTGTTACTGAGAGGGAACTGAGAAAGAATGGCTGAGAACAAATAGAGAGCGCACGAAGCAGCCCTGCGGGCCTCCCTGAGGATGCACTTTGCAATGGATCTGGTACTCATGGTCCTGAGATATTTTCCAGTAGAGATCAACCACTCAGGAGAGGGCCACAGATGACACACAATGGAATTGATTTTCCAGGGCTGAGGTTTACTCAGGCAAGGGCAGAAAAAAACTTGCATGGCCAGAACAAACCAGAACTTTGAAAGATGCTGGAAGGGAAAGGTAAACTGTGGCAACTGCAGGTGTTCTGGAATGATTTGTGGCATCTGTCCTCTATGACAAAGATTTCAGGGTGGACGAGTCCCCCTCAGAATGTGGGTTAGTATGCTGAAGAGTAGAAAGGAGGTCATGGGTCATATGATCTGTGTAGCCTTAGGAAAATCACTTAACCTCCCCGATCGCAGTTGCCTCATCATCTGTCTAATGAGAACACTGAGTCAGATCATTCCCTGAGTTTCCTCTAGCAAGTACCACAATATTTGTGGCCAGTGGACTATTTAGGGATGAGCTGTCAATATCTGAGGTCCTCTCTACCATCTTTCTTATTGGAAAACTACCATGCTTCCTCAATAATCCTTGGTCTTTCCAGAAAGTTCTATCATCCATCCACCCATCCAGTTTTATATGAATTTGATAAACAAGTTGTGAATTCTCTAAGCTCCATCTACACTTCCAAGACCAGATTGTCCTGGTGGGTGGCAGTGGGGCCAATGGTCAGAGCAGAGGTTCCCTCCACATTGTCTACCTGGCTAATCATTTCACATCCTTGCAGAGGCTGGTGTGGATCAGCCAATTAGATGACCTCCTGCAGTGCAATCAGCTTTGTTTTCAAAAAGCAAACATATTAATGACTATTAGTCTCATCTGCTATGTCTTTCCTTTGTAATATTTTAACTTAAAAATTATGGTAAAATATACATAACATAAAAGTGACCATACTGAATATTTTAATTGTACAGTTAGGTGGCATTAAGTACATTCACATTGTGGTGCAATCATCACCATCATCTATCTTCAGACCTTTTTAATTATCCTGAAATGAAACTCTACTAATGAAACAATAACTCCCAATGCCCTCTTCCCATAGCCCCCAGCAACCACTATTTTACTTTCCACTTCTATGAATTTGAGGCTACTTGTCTACTCTCCACTTCTATGAATGTGAATTCCACTTGTCTCAGATATTTTTATTTTACTTTCCAATTCTATGAATTTGAATTCCACTTGTCTCAAATAACTAGAACCATATTTGTCCCTTGGTGTCTGGCTTATTTTGTTTAGCATAGTATCCTCAATAAATCCATATTATAACATGCCAAAATTTCCTTTCTTTTTAAAGTGAATAATATTTTATAATTTGGAAAAAGCACAGTTCATTCATTCTTCTGTAGATAGACATCCGGGTTGGTTTTAGCTTTCAGGTATTGTGAGTAATGCTGCTGATACAGTTTGGCTTTGCGTCCCTACCCAAATCTCATGTCAAATTGTAATCCCCATGTGTTGGAGGTGGGGCCTGGCAGGAGGCTATTGGAGCATGGGGGTGGTTTCTAATGGTTTAGCACCATTCCCTAGTACTGTCTCATGATAGAGTTCTCATGAGATCTGGTTGTTTAAACGGTGTGACACTTCCCTCCTCTCCTCTCTCTCTCTCCTGCTCCTCCACCGTGAGATGTGCTTATTTCCCCTTCACCTTCCGTTATGATTGTAAGTTTCCTGAGGCCTCCCAGTTATGCTTCTTGTTAAGCCTGTGGAACTGTGAGCCAATTAAACCTTTCCTCATAAATTACCCAGTCTCGGGTAGATCTTTACAGTAGTGTGAAAAGGGACTAATATATCTGCTGTGACCACTAAACATTTTTAAATGGATACACATGAACTAAAAAGGAGAGAAATGTAGAATCATGAGATTGAATATCAGAGAGACAAGAACTGCTTGCATCTATGAATCAGTAGAAAGAGGGTGCCCAGGTCAGACTACATCGATGATTTGGCCAGAAAAGAGCTTGCTCCCTGGCTGCTTGGCTTAGGGAGAGTTTGTTTCCTCACCTTGGTCTTTCAGGGCTGTGGGAGAGTGAGCTGCAAGACTGCCCAGCTGGCACTCTTCCTGAATGTGCAAGAATGGATTTCTCTCTGCATTCAAGGAGGCCATGCAGAAATAGGGACCTCTTAATCTTTGTGCTTTGAGGGACCATATCTTCTTCCCTCCTCTAGAAACTCTGTGTCCACATAGGCAGCATTGTGTGCTGTGGGGGGTTGGGGGTTAGAAAGTCTGTCAACTGATTGACTGGATGACTGATGTGTTCACTCATTGACTAGAACTAATGCCCTTGGGGTTCTAAGGCACAGAGGTGCAAGGCAAGGTTCATACTGGAGGAGCCCTCAGTTGACAGCCAGGAGAAAAAGGAGGATCTGAGAGACAATTAAGCACTCAGGTGATGCCACCTCTGTTATTGATATTTTCTATTTGCTACCTACATTCATTGCAATTGACTTTTGAGAAGGAGACGCCATTGTATTTGGGTTCTTAGTGTCTAAAGATGATCATAAAATGCCTTCCATGAAATCTTTCCATGAAAGATTCTTTGCAAATTTGAGTTAATCATAGATGCTTGAGACAAGATACAGAAAGGACTAATCATAAAAGAAAAATAACTGGTAAATTGGACTTCACTACAATTAAAACTTTCTGCCTATTCAAATATGCCATTAAGAAAATGAATATAGAAACCACAAATAGGGAAAACTATTTGTAGAGCCCATATCTGAAAAAAAGTTTATATTTGGAATATGTTATTAATAAAATAATAAAAAGATAATTCAATTTTTAAATGAACAAAAGACTTGAGCAGGTACTTCACAAAAGAATATGTGTAAATGGACAACAAAAGAAAATATGCTCACATTATTAGTCATCAAGAAAATGCAAATTAAAGCCACCATGAGATTCTACTTATTCGCACACTAGAGGCTAAAATTTTTTTTTTAAAAAAAGGACAATACTAAATTTTAGTGAGGATGTGGAACAATGGGAATTGTCACAGATGACGATGAGAAAGTCAAAAGGCATAACCGCTTTGGAGAACTGTGTGATGGTTTCTAGTAAATTTAACCAGAAAACTACCTTGTGCCCTAGCAATTCCACTCCTAGGTATTTGCCCAAGAGATAAAGAAACAAAAAAGACTAGCACAAAAATATTCATAAGAGCCTTATTGATAACTCAAACTGGAAACAGACCAAATGTTCATCAACAGAAGAATAGATTTTTAAATTGTGGCATAGTCACATGCTAGAATAAACAAATGAATACATTCTGTTTGATTCCATTTATGAAGTTCAAAAACAGACAAAACTAAACTATGGCAATTGATGTCAGAAAATGGTTGCCTTTGGGTCAAAGGGTGGTAAACGAACTGAAAAGGCGAATGAGAGAACTTTCTAGAGTGGTGGAAATGTTCTGTGTTTTTGCCTTGCATACACAATTGTCAGAACTCATTGAACTGATCCCTTAAGATCTTTTTATGTTTTTGTATGCTAATCATGTTGAAAGGAAGAAAGGGAGGAAGGAAAGAAAGGAAGGAAAAAGGGAGAGAGGGAGGGAGGAAAGGAAAGAAGGGAAAAAAGGAGAGAGGGAAGGAGGAAGAAAGGAAAGAATAAGGAAGGAAAGAAGGAAAAAGAAAAGGAACGAAAAGCAAGAATGAAAGAAGGAAGGCAGGCCTATAGTCTGGTTAAAGAGTTTTGAGGAAATGCTTACGCCTAGAACATGGGTGCTGTGTGGGAAAGGGGTAGGAAAGGAGGCCAGCCCTTGCTTATACAGACCAAGCTGACTATGACTTTTTATTTTTTTTTCTGCAGGCAGAGGAGACCTGAGTAATTCTATGAAGGTGAATTACATTCGTGCCTTGGAAAGGCTACCTTAATGATAGATGAGATATGGGGAGTTGGACATCTGCTGTGACCAGAGGGCTGTTACAGAAGGGAATTTGGAGATTCCAGTTGGTTACAGGGGCACATGCAATGTTATTTTTAACCTCCCTTACAGGAGGGACTGGCATTTCTTTGGTTGCTAGGGAAATTGTGTTCTGAACAGTTACACATTGGTTCCTAATTTTAAAAGTCTTAGGGAAAACTAGAACATTTTATGAGCCAGTACCAGTGTGCTGTGCTAGGACTGTGCACCTGCTAAAACGTGGCTATTGTTCTCTTAATGTACTCGTGGGTAACTGTCACCATAGCAACAACAACGCGGGACCTTGCTGGTTCATAGCGGAGGATTCCTGTTGGTTTAGTGATGGAGGCCAGTCCAGAAGCCCATTCAGGATTGCAGGAAGGTGTTGAATTAGGTGGGATACACTGGCAGCCACTGGATGTGCAAGGCACAGGGTGGGAAGGTGTGCGCAGAGGGTCATCCGGCAGGAGGAACACAGGATTTCTCACAGCCCACTGGGCTCATCATTACTATTGGGCAAATTCCCACATTCCCTCAGTATTAGGCTAAAGTTTAATGTGACATCCTACGGGTGGCACTAAGAGAAGAATCCCGAATTTCCCGCTGAGTTTGGAGTCAGACCTTGGTCAAGTTAGCAGAGCACCAAGGTATAGCTGGGGGGGGGTCTGGCTTCCCCATCATCCATCAGCACTGTTATCCAGCAAAAGAGACTCGCTGCCCAATGTGCTGGAAGCCAGTACTGTGACACCAGGGTTTTAAGAAAAGAAAAGCTTTATGTCAAAAGTCCACTCACAAGGAGGCAAGAGTCAAGCTCAAATCCCTTTCCCCAGGCTGACTTCAAGGCAGTATTTTATTAGAAAAGGTTCAGGGGCCGGACTCTGGGATTAGATGGGGCTTGGTGGAAGGAAAGGGGAGGGCTGAAAAGTCTTGGGCATGCGCAGTAACGTCTCCCTGTTACCTCATGGGTCCCATGTGCAAATTCAGAGGGAATTAGAATGGAACATGCGGTGGAAATTCAGGCTCTGACGTCAGCAACCTCGTTTTGCAAAAGCTCCAGTTGGCCACCTTGGTTCCAACTGAGTTCAGCTGGCTTTTCTTGATCTCATAAGCAGAGGGAGTTTCAGTGGTTCAGCAAGTTGGTTTTTTTCTTATCTACTCTCCTGCAAACACGAGAATTTCTGTAAGCTCCTGGTTTCTTACTCTTTGGGGCACAGTTTCCGTTTCAGCTTTTCAGCAAGTTGTTTCCTATCTGTCGCCCTGTAAGCCCAAGAATTTAGTCATTTGTTTCTTCAACGGTTGGAGGCAGGGTGTCAGCACCCACTAGTAGTATGGACAACTGACATTAATCTTACGTGAAGTGCAAATAAGACGCAGCTTAACCCACTCGCTCCATAGACAATGGACTGCACTGTCTCTGGTACAGCCCAGGCCTGCGTCTTGGTATCCCTGACCATTTCAACCCCCATTTTAGTGTTCTTTCCTCCTCACTGCCAAAAAGCCATTTTAGGCAGCTTGTGGGTGCTTTTCAGAAGCGATGTGTGTGTGAGAGAGGAAGGAGCCAAAACCCTTTGTTTTGGCTTTAAACCCGTCTGTGTAAGTGAGACTGAGTGGAAAGCCCCTGCTCCTCTCTCCAGCACTCCCTAAGGCAGGCAGCCACAACCTCCTCAATTGCAGATCAGAAGGGGGCCTTTGGAAATTATCCAGCCAGTGAATCTCTTCATTCTCCCCTGCCACATCACACATGATGGATGAAGTCCACATGCTTGACAGGATTCCATGTATGCACGTACTTTAATGGAACAGCCAAAAACATTGTGTGAGGAAATAATTGCCCTCAGAAAAGGAAATTTTCTTTTCCTGAGTGTACTCTGCCATGATAACCCTTCCTTCCCACTCAGGATGTATTTTGAATGCAGGTAGGTTAGCATGAATTTATCTTGTACTAATCTCCAATCAACTCAAGTTGTTTTGCAGCGTGAACTCATCCACACATCTTCCCGAAGACGGATAAATCACGGTGCCCCAGCAGCTCCTCTTCACCTCCCAGATAACACCTGCTGCCAGCCCTGCAATTCTTTGGAGCCCCCTGAGTTGACTGTTGTGTCCTCAGCTTCCATACCACAACTTAACACTATTGAAAGAGATGGATAAGGGGCTCCTGGTAATCTCTAGATGTGTGCAGCATTGATTGATAGGAATAAGAGGTTTCTGTTTTTGTGCTACACCCCTTCCTTTAGAATGTTGACTTTTTGCACCTGCCTCAATATTTGTATCAGAAGAATCAAGGTGTGGACATGAGCTTCCTACACATTTTCCCCAGCATCTAGAGAGCATAAGTGAGAAGGACGGAGACACGCCCGTCGGCACAGGCATTCACATCCCCTTCAAAGCCCTCCATGGGCTCTCAACACACCCAGAGACAGGAGCTCTCCCTGGAACTACCCCCACATGGTTATTCTCTCAGGAGGTGGGAGGGGAGGGAGCTCTCCCTGGGGAAGGAGGATCAGAATCTTCTTCTAGCAAGAAGGTGGGGGAAGAGCGTTATGTGTAATAGAGACCGCACAGTCCACTCCCTCCTGCCCCATAATTATCAGAGTCCTGCTCTAGGGACCAGCAGGGGTCAGCTCCAGAGTGACATTTTCTTTTCTACCTGTGCTACTGTCTGGAAAACCATGAAGTCCAGGACTATGAGGAGAATGTCAGCCAGGATAGTGCCCAGTGTAGTGTTTCTTTACAGAAGTTCAAGACTGCTAGGCTGGGTGCAGGGGCTCATGGCTGTAATCCCAGTACTTTGAGAGGCAGGCAGATCACAGAAGGCCAGGAGTTTGAGACCAGCCTGGCCAACATGGTGAAACCCCTTCTCTACTGAAAATACAAAAAAAAAATTAGCTGTGGGTGATGGTGGCACCAGTAGTCCCAGCTACTGGGGAGGCTGAGGCAGGAGTATTACTTGAACCCAGGAGGTGGAGGTTGCAGTGAGCCAAAATCACGCCACTGTACTTAATCCTGGGCACCAGAGCAAGACTCTGTCTCACATTAAAAAAAAAAAAAAAAAAAGACTTAGCCATCTAGGAGGAGGTGGAAGGGAACGCTGCAATCTGCCCAAGGTGACCATGTATTAGTTGTGACCCCGGAGGGATAATTCCATCAATTTGAATAGGACTAGTATATGCCCATCATCAGCACCACCACCATCATCATCTTCCCAATTCTTCCTGGGAAGATCATCCCTGTGATCCCACAAGCCTGTCAGTGAAGGTTCCCGGCAGTGGGGTTGGTCCAGAACAGAATTAACTTGAATTTGATGGATTTAAGGCAATTTCTCTCAAGTCTCATGCAGAAAACAAGCCCTCATGTATTGTTTTGTGTTTTGCTTGTTGTTGTCCTCATCTTCCCAGAGTTGAAATATCATGGAGACCCTCTTCCCAGGGAAAGAAAGGAGGAAATTTGACCACTGGAAAGAGTGAGAGTGAGATCTTCTCCTGACTTTGCATTCTTGAAGACTGCATGGTCCTGGCATGTTTTGTTTGGATGCTAAATTAAGTGGAGAGGAGACTTTATGATGTGAGTTTGGCAGATGAATAAATCAAATGAAACAATAAGGCAAGCAGTTATCCAAACAAAGTGGGCTTACAACCCTGGATATTAATGAGGCTTTTACTTTAAACGGATATGTTTAACCAAGCAACATGAATCCATATTGGGAGCTGGAGGAATTATGGAGATTGTGTTGGAATCCTGCCCAAAAGAGGTTTGACTATGTTATCTTGTGCTAACAGGAGCGCCCAGGGAGCAAGAGAAGCCCTGAGACAGTGGCAAGGGACACTGTGGGGCCGCAGAGTAAGTAACCCGTGTCCTCCCTCCCTCTTCAAATGAGAGCTGGGGTCCTGGAATTGGATCCCAGACATCAGCACCCTAAGATCCATGAGATAAGGTGAGGTGGGGCTGGAAAGGCCTCAAGGGAGGAGAGGAGGCAGGACAGGAGGGATAGGGATGCAGGCTCTAGGAGGAGGGAGATGCTTCAGCATCATCCAGCACATAGCCGTCTATCTCCTTCTCAAAATGGGATGCTAATGGCAGGGTGAGAGGATCACTGAGAGAGAGGAAAAAGAGTACAAAGCTGTATAAGCCATAATGCCTGGCCCTCCCCAGACCTATTCTCAGAGGACAACACTTGGGATTCTCAGTGACAACACTTAGGATGCAGGGAGGGTCTTTGTGCTTGTCATAAAGTGCTTACAGGCAGCGCTGTTTCAGGGGGAAAACATGCCTGAACAACTTCCTGGAACTTCCTTCTCAGAATAAGTATGCCAGATTGGCATTTTTGAATCGTGTTTGACAGTATGACACAAACATATAAAACAGAATGATGAAATCAAATAATAAAATATGCTATGAATATGCATTTTCCCTCACCTAAGTAGTAATAGAAACTATATTATCTCAGGTGCTTTTTAAGCACATTGCTAAATTGCCTTCCATTTTTCCTGGGGTGGCACTTGGTGGTTAGCACTGGGAGGAGCATGGGGAGAGTGGGCAGAGGTGGGAGCAGAGTCTAGCACTTATATTTCTGACACCGGTCACTCACTTGCTATGGGGGTGAGGAGGTTGGGAGAGTGGGTTTTACCACCAAAAAAGCTTTTTTAAAAAGTGTATAATCCATTGACTTTTAATATAGTCACAGAGTTGTACAATTATCACCAAAACCAATTTTAGAACATTTTCACAATCTTCCAGAGAAATCCAATATTCTAGAGCAAGAACTTCCTATTTTCCCTGAACACTGCAGTCTCTACCCCAGCCTAACCCTAGACAACCACTAATTGACTTTTTTGTCTCTATAGATTTCTGGACATTTTGTTTAAATGGCATCATACAATAAGTGCCCTTTTGTGTGACTAGCTTCTTTTACTAAGCATAATGTTTCCAAGCTTCCTATAATATCTTTTTGTTTAGATGCATCCAGGAGGGATGGTTATGGTGGACCTGAAACACCTCAACAGAGTGTTTGTGAGGACAGCCTTTGTGAGGAGCTGAGCTGAGCTGAGCTGAGCTGGCATTTGGAAGCAGAACCTCAGAGAGACCCAGTTCTGATGGAATTGAGAGAGGATGACGTGGGAGTCTGTATAAGGAAAGTCTTGTAACAGAGGGCACTGCAACAGGTGCTCTCAAAAGGACCTTCAGCCTGAGAAGTGTAAGAGTTAAAGAAAGAGGAAAGAAACATGAAATGTGGCTTGACAGTTAAAGACAGATTTATTTCAGAGAAAATAAACATGAGAGGGGCTTCTGGCCAATTTCAGTCAGGAGTGCTTGCTGTTACAGACTAAGAGTACATGTTAGTTTTAGGGTGAGGGGGCTTATTGCAAGCTTGGAATATTTCTGTGTAAGGGAGAAGTTTTATGGTGAGGTTGGAATGTCTCCAGAAGGAGGGGAGGTTATCTTGGGGATGACGTCTTTCCAGCTGGAGGGTTGGTGTCTTCCCAGCTGGAGTGGGGTTATCTCAGGGCTAGCATGTCTCTGGTTGGGGAGGAGTTTGAAATGTTTCTGGTTGAAGATGTTATTTGTGGTTTAAGGTCATGCTGACCTTAGCCATTGGGCTGATGCCCTTTGGATTTAGGCGGTTTTTGATTAAGGTAAACCTTAGAATGAGGAGCTTGTCTAAGATGGTGATGCTCCTGCTCTGCTGAGAAGCAGCCTGGGAGGCAGGTGGGAGCACTGTGGGTCCAGCTCTGGTGGTCTTTAAGAACAAATTGTAGGGATGTGGGCTTGGTGGAAACTTAGATTTAAAAAGTCTAAATAGACTTTAAAAGATCATCCATTTCAACTCCTTCATTTTACAGATGGGGAAACTGAGGCCCAGAATGATGAAGATTCCTGCCTATGTTTAGAAGGAATAAAATATATATTTAGTTCCCAATCGAACGGGGCAAAAATTGTTAACATCCATGTGTTCTCCTTTCCCCATCCCTGAGACAGAGAAGGTGGCAGCTCAGCCCTCCCTGTTTCCTGGCCCATGACCGCTTCGTCCACCAAAGGGGCTTGCGGTGGTTTATTAAAATGGCTGCAAGTCCTCTGGCACTCCTTCATGGAGAAGTGGAGTCTATTTGCCTTCTCTAGGAGTTGGATAGGCTTGTGCTGGTTTTCACCTGTGATCAGAGCATGCCTTGGAAGCCCAGGCCCCCCAGGAAGTCCCTGTCTACGTGCCCCTGTCAACAGCCCTCACTGAGCTGGGCTTTTCAGTCTACCCAGCCTGGGTACCAGATGTGGGGAAGTTTCCAGCAAGGAAGACTTCAGCCCGTGCCAATGAATTCTTCCCAGCTGAGGCCCAGACTTCGGGAGCAGAGACAAGCCATCCTCATGCCCTGTGTCAACCTGAAATAAGTGAAAGGATTGGAATCCACTTTAAAGAGTTTATTCAAGCAAAAAGCTAGGAATGACCATTCGGAAAACAAGGGTTCCACAGAAATGGAGTTAGTGCTCTGAAGTCAAAAGTTAAGATCCTGCTTATGTAGGAGGAAAACAAAGAAATTGAACACGATTACGACATTTTCTATACAAGCCTGTTTTATGAGTTCTAACAATTTATAGTTTGTTTTCTTTTCTGTATGGCTTGCTTTCATTTATTTTCTATCTTAAAGGAATATATTTAACATAGTCACAAAGTCTGAATTATTTATTTTCACACCTGTTTACATTCCAAACTCACAGCATCAGTGAGCGTTAGGAACTGGTGTTTGGCAACACTGTATTTTGGGATGACCTGCTACATAGCAATAATAACTGGGATAGGCCTCAAGGTGCAGCTGCTTGGGCAATAATAGTGTAAATTGATTCAGTGTTTTGGAGGTAGAGGGAATTCTGGTGGTACTCTGAAGAATCATAGATAAATTCTACGCACAAAGGTGTTAATGAACAAGAACACGGGAATATTGCATGATGCTGAGGTTTGGAGTATAGATCCCGTCACTCTGGTAGTAAGTATAGTACCCGATGGGCAGTTTCATCAGCCCATCCCCGCTCCCTCCACTCTCTGGTAGTCCACAGTGTCTATTTTTCCCGTATTGTCCATGATATACCACTTGTATGATACAAGGCAGCTGTGCTGTGAAAGATAAATATGAAGCCCTTGATGCAAAAAACAAAAACAAAAAAACGGAATACAGAAGAGTGTTGATGAAAAAACCAGAACACAGAATCCTTCATAGGCCTATGTCTACACAGAAAGAGAAACACATGAATCATTGCTTTTGTGTGAAGAGTAGCTTTTGGTTGGTGTTTTGGGCTCAACCGCGTTCCTCAAAAATACATATGCTGAGGCCCTGACCTCCAGCTCCTCAGAGTATCTGGAGATAGGGTATTTAAAGAGAAAATTAAGTTAAAAATGAGGTCAGTAGGGTGGGCCCTAATCCAATATGACTGGCATCCTTACAAGAAGAAGAGATCGAGACACAGACACAGACAGAAGGAGGCCCATGTGAAGACATAGGGAGAAGATGGCCACCTGCAAGCCCAGGAGAAAGACCCTGGAGGAAGCGAACCCTGCCAGCACCTTGACCATGGACCTCCGACCTCCAAGACTGAGAAAAAAGTCTGTTGTTTAAGCCACAGTCCGTGATACTTGGTTATAGCAGCCCTAGCAATCTAATACAGTTTGTATTATAGAATTGTTTTAATCATTTAGATTTAAATTGAGCCAGGAATCCTTAAGTCCTGCAACCTCAGTGATGAGTACTTTTTGTAACCTTACTGCAAAGAGTGGGTCAATGGCCTCTTAAGGCATTAGAATAATGTTGTTTATGAACTCATTGGGCAGCTTAGAAGCCAGAAGGGGTTAAATCTAGCAGTCTTTGAAAAATAATACAAGAAAGGCTATGTGCTATCACAAGTACTTTATTATTTCATCTTCTGAAAATCTGCAGAGCATATGTGTGAAATTTTCTCTCTATTTAGGGTGTTGTTGCTTCCAAAGGCTCAGCTGCTCTCCTTTAGCTGGTAGGGAGGCAGGGAGGAGGAGGGAATCCACCCAGCTCTAACTGTGTTGTGATTTATTTCTCTTCTAATCACATTCCCCCGTGGTCTCAGGCTGTGTGTGTAGCATAAAATTAGCCTTATAAGAGGTCCCAATTTTAGGTTTTCTTCACCTGGGGGGATGTAAACATTTGATTAATTTTACTCTCCCATTCAATCTGGGCTTCCTTCCTCTAAGCACCCAGTTTCCTGTGTGGCCACAGGCACAGAGGGGACTGGAGTTGCCCTATGGTGTGGAGAGGACAAATATTACTTCATGAATGCCTTAAGGCCACCTACCTATTGAAATGGTCTCAATGGTAAGTTGACGTAAGACAAAACACAAATCTTTGCAAAAAATGAACTTATAGGAATTCTGGAAAGGGAAAGACTATTGGGCCTCCAGGAAGCCACTGTAGCCCTGCCCATTCACTTTGATCCCTGTTCTGGAGGGTCACTTCCTTTCAGGGCATAAAAAGGACGGTTTTCCTTCCCAGGGGTCACTATAGGTGTCTGCCACCCCTACTCACTATCGCCTAGTGGGAGGAAGGCTGTGGTGTCATTTTGTGTCATTGGTCTGCTGCTGGCAACACAGCATTCATTGAATGAGTGAATGTGTTTTTGAACTGAACTGGAGTCCACTTGCTCAGCACAGCAAAGCCAAACACTGACATCGAGATTGCAGTCAGAGAAGGTGAGGCATTTTTTGCAGGGTGCCAGGCAAGGAGAATCAGGGAGCTGGCACTTAAAACCCAAACTCCCAGATGGCTTACAAGTAAGGGCTTTTAATGGCAAGGAGGCAGAGGTTACAGGCAAAGTCATAAATCTATACATCACTCTGACCTAAAAAAGCAGGACATCTCGAAGTGGGGGCCCACAGGTCAAAGGTGGATTGAAAGATTTTTTGATTTGCAATTAGTTAAGGAAGCAAAGCTTTGTCTAAAAGTTTGGGATTAGCCTGGGTGCAGTGGCTCACACCTGTAATCCCAGCATGTTGGGAGGCCAAGGTGGGGGATCACTTGAGGCCAGGAGTTCAAGACCAGCCTGGGCAATATAGTGAGACACCATCTCTATGGAAAATATTTTAACTAATTAGCCAGGCATGGTGTACATGCCTGCAGTCCTAACTACTTGGGAGGCTGAAGCAGGAAGATTGCTTGAACCCAGGAGTTTGAGGCTGCAGTGAGGTGTGATTGCATCACTGCACTCCAGCCTGAGCAACAGAACAAGACTCTGTCTCTTAGAAAAAACTTTTTTTTTTGAGATCAGCAGCGAAGAATGTTAGCTCTGGCTTATAGGAGTGACCTCCTCCAGAGCCCTCAGGAAGAAATTTAGAAAAAAGAAAAGCCATCAGAGTTCAATCCTCTATTTTCTCTTATCTGAGGTCTACATGCCAGTAGATCCATTTGTTTGGGGTCTGGGTTTCTAAAAAGCAATTCAGGGACATATGGTCTCTAAGAGGGGTCCCTGCTCTATCTCAAATGAGTGAATGAAAAAATGATTTACTCTACAAGCCCTTACCCAGAGAAACAATAGATATACTTTAAGAATACCCACATGGAATGGGACGAGAGGTATTTTCTCATCCAACTTGTCCGCTGAGCTTAAGTTTGCTTTGTGTATTCACTGTATGGTCTTTCCCAAAGGTCTGCGCTTCCATGAGTGAACTCTTTGTAAATGACACCCCTGCTGCCTGAGCCCACATCTCCATCCTTCGACCCCCAATCAATATTTCTCTGTGCTCCACTTCTTTCCTACCCCCAACCCACCTGGGTTGTGCCTCCATCCTCTCAGAGTATGGCAACCTAGTGCAGGATCTACTGCAGTGTGGAAATGGGTTTAGGGACAGAACTTACCAGAGTCAGAGAAGTAACGAAAGAAAAGGAACAGAAAGACAGAGCTAGAACTTTGTGAAGAAGCCATAAATGAGCTTGTTTTCATTTCAACGTGTTATAATGGCTACTTTAATTCATTTGATAATGAATACTCAACTGAGAATGCTTTCTAAATTTAATTTTCTGAGCCTCAGTTTCCTCACTAATAAAATAGGGATAAAGTATCAATCTTTCATTAGCTTTGTAGTGATAATTAAATAAGAGAACAGACTCAGAAATACTTTATAAACTATAACTCATTATGTGGCTGGGTACCATGGCTCTCACCTGTAATTCCAGCACTTTGGGAGGCTAAGGCAGGTAGATCACTTGAGTCCAGGAGTTTGAGACCAGCCTAGCTAACAAGGTGAAAACCCCGTCTCTACTAAAAAATATAAAAAATTAGCTGAGTGTGGTGGCGTATGCCTTTAGTCCCAGTTACTTGGGAGGCTGAGGCAGGAGAATCACTTGAATCTGGGAGGTAGAGGCTACAATGAGCTGAGATTGCACCACTGCAATACAGCCTGGGCAACAGAGTGAGCCTCCTGTCTCAAAAACAAAACTAAACAAAACACTATAACTCATTATATAAGTATATATCATAATTATTATTCTATAAAGATCTCACTACTTTTGATCTTGAGAAAAAAACCTTTATACTATGAATTAACTTGTTGCTTAAAACAAATTGAACTCTTTTCTCCTTCTCTTCCTCATTCTTTTCCCCCCAATTCATCTAGAAAACTAAACTCTATAATTGTATGATCTACCATTGCCTTTATTACTACCCAGTTGATCTCCAGTTGTTTCATATAGTTGAAATAAGACAGTATATAGCTGAAGCCTGCGAACTGTAAAAGGCTGTACACATTAAGGTGGAATTTTAGAGTATCTGTGCATTGACTCCAGGAACTAGGAAAAAGCCATTTCAACTGCAGTGCAGCATCACCCAGGGGTGCGCTAGAGGCTGACTTAGGACTCAAGGTGAGTGTCGATGCTTTTGGCCATGGAAATGGAGAGCAAGTCCTGAAATTGTTGGGGGTCAAGTAATCCAGCACCTGTGCTTGGTGCTGAGTTTCTGGTAGGAGTATTCACCCATCAGTGGCCTAACAGATTGAGTCCCTAGTCTTGCTGGTCTTGAGATGGCTGGGGGCTCACCGCACCTGTGGGGCTTTTCCACTTTACCACTCTGGGTGCTAGATGCTGTCTGCCAGGCCATGGAGCAGATGGCCAGGGCTGCAAGGAAACAGGATGTGGGCCTGTGAGAGGGGTGTGTGTGGAGATTTGCAGCTCATATGGGAAGTCCAGACCTGCAAACCCAAGAGGCCAAGTGCAGAGGTGAGGAGGGTGGAGGAGTCACCTCATCCCTTCAAGACCCGAGTGGCAAAATTCTACCCAAGAATCAAAAAGGAGCTCTGACCTTTCTGCACAAGCAGAAATGATGGAATTCAATTCCAGGAAGAGATGAGTATGGGGGATGATGGCCACTGCCACTCAGGACGGTAGTTGCAAAGTTGTGGCCGATCTGAGTTCATGGCTTCAGTAGCCCCTGCAAACATAATGAGAAGTGTTATTGTCAGAGCCAGAAGAGATGTGAGGACGAAGCAAACCTTTGGTGTCCATCTGTCATAGGCCAATCTGGGGACAGAAAGGAAGTAGCATGCAAAGGCAGTTCATGGTGCCGTGATAGGTGGCACAAAGAGCGTGGGGCCAAAGTTGGAGATGGCGTTCAGGGAATTAGTGCACTGTAGGTTTTTAAATATAGGTTTTATTATTATTAT